TATTAAGGCTAGGATTTTTTTTTACTAAAGTAATAAAAGCTTTAAAAATCCGATTTTAATTAAAAATAAGAAAGCTAATAAGAGTTAGCTTTAATCTTTACTTGCTTTATAGCCTAAGTTATATTTAAAATTAGTACTAATATAATATATAAAGAAAGAGATATATAAGGCTTAGAAGCTTATTATTTATACCTATAATAAGGCTAACTTTTTTATAATCTAAAAGCAGTTTATTAATATATATAACCTTTACTAAAATTATATCCTAATATATATCTCTTTAAAGTATATATTATAGTAGCTATAGTAAGTAACTTACTATATTATAAGATATTATAATTTTAATTAGTATATTAATAGCCTTATAAAGACTACTTATAAGGATATAAAAAGCTATCTTATAACCAGTATAGGCAATCTTCTTTACCTTTATACTATAATTATTAATATACTAAAGAAAAAAAAAGATTATTATAATAATACTACTAATAAGGCTATATAAGTAGCTTAGGACTATATTAACTAGGAATAGATTAGTAATATTTCCTTATAAGTCTTCTTTAAGGCTGTTTTTTATATTAATAAGTACTATAAGATTACTACTACTGCCTTACTTAAAGATATAAAAAAGCCTTACCTTTGCCCCTATTTAGGCTGCTTTTAGTAGCAGTATGCCTTCCCCTGTAGTTACGTTATCCTTATAAGGCTATAGTAAAAAAAGGCTTTCTTATTAAAGCTTTATATTTATATAGCTAGAAGCCCCTTTTGTAATAGCTTTATTTAAAGCTATTTAACTAACTGTAAAGCTAAGCGCTTAATAAATCCTTTTATAAGATAAGGTATTATATAATCTTCCTTATAATTATTATAAGGTTTAGGTTTTAGTAGTAATATAGTATTACAGGGAACTGTTAGTTAATTAGGTAGCAGGGGTATTATAGCTACTATAGCCTTAATACTAAAGGAGCTATAATTTATTATATATAGGCTAAAGGCTTAGCTAGTAGCCTAATTTTTTAATTATTAAAATACCTAAATTCTATTTATTAGTTATTACTAAGTTAAAGCTAAATAATAACTTTTTAATTTATATACTAATTTATATATATAGAAGGGAAAAAGTTGAATTTTCTTTAAAGCCTAAAGAGAATTTTACGGTTATGTGGCCTTGTTTATGTAAATAGAGAAATCTGTTTATACGATTAGTACGACTTAATGGAAAACGTTCCCTGCTCTGATCGGAGGCGAGTAGTCTAGGGGGTCCCTTGCACAAATACTAGCCAACGTCCCGTCAATATGCACATGTTGAACGGATCGAACGGCTGTTGTCCCGGGATGCAGTCCCAAAAAATTAGACTTGGCATGTATGTACTACCAGCCACTGAATTACTCTGCAGCCAGCCTGGGAATTCGGAAAAGAATTGTCTCCAAGTTTGTTGAAAAATTGAGTGAGTTGATGTTGAGGTCATGAGACCCCGCTGCGTTGGCTGTGCTTTGCTTGGTATTGATTGGTATGGAGGTTCTGCAAGGCATAGAAAATTGGGTGTTACAAGCAGAAAAAGACAGGGATGAGCCGTGTTCCTGACGCGATGCTATTTTTGAACTGGCGGTTGAGTCTCCAGGTACGAATACTGCTCAAGTATTCTTCTCTACAGATAATTTGAGCGCTGGAATATCACGGCAAGCTCTGAAAGCATCTCCATCTTCCCCAAATCTTGAATGCTATACGGTTCTCTCTTGGTCAAACCCCAGGTTTACGTCTTCAAGATTTACAGTACAACCCCAGCAAATCCAAAACACAAGCAAGCAGGGTACAAAGCAGGGTTCTCGTTCTCGACCACCCAAGCTACGGATCTCTATTGGCTCCGCACCCTCAAACCTGAATCTTGGTTTTTCCCTGTAGCTTTGGCTCTGAATGGACTTTGTTTTGCGAGATCGATCGGGAGCTGCGTGCGTTACTTGAGCGACTGTGCACAATCCATAAGTTACTTAAGGTTGACGCAAGCCCGTTTCGGGAGTTTACCAAAGTCTTGGGTCTTCTCACTACTAGGTACCTACTAAGTAACTTATAAGGTAACTGATCAGTGTTGTACTTCTCACCTGGTCAACCAAAAAGTATACCTATCGGCTCTGACTACTGCTGCTGACGACGAAGGGGGCTGCATGTCTGAGATACCCTTACGCCAAACGATGCAGAGGCGTTTGACTTGACCGTGTATTTTGCATTGGATAGCATCCAATGAATGGCATGATTATAGGACAAGCCTCCCCTCCCTGATCACACTTATCGTCTGCCTTTTAAGTCCTCATGTTCCCCTGAGCCGCGTCTTCCTTGTTCTATACTTTAGCATTCATATTATTTCCTCGGCCACGATATTCTCGACTCTATTGGTCCGGCAGTCAACATCGGAAGTTCGGAACATTATCACGACAATCTGGTGCAACATAAACGAATATCGATAGACCAAAAGCACCCTGTCACAATAAATAGTCTCCGTCGATCATCTTGAAACTCCACATTAACGACCGACCGACCATGTTCGAGGTTCAACATAACCACCACGGACAAGAGTTCAAGCGCTTCTTTCACCATGGCCGAAGCTCAATGTCTGCCATTGAGGACAAGAGGGCAGAAGAGTTTAGGAGACATGTCTGGGCGGTTACCATGATTGATGAGGATCCATTGGCAGGGAGTGGGGAGAAGAAGAACAAGAACAAGAAGAACCGCCAATCGATTGACCTTGTGTGAGTAAGAGAGTTTCTTTTATTATTATTATTATCATCATCATTATCATCATTACAGTCAGCTATACTCAACATCCCATTCCTATACTACCCTCGCGCAACATAATGCATTGTCTGTTTTATAACCCCTTGTAACTTGTTTTCTATTATTCTCCCTCTCTTCACCCCTTGGAAAGTTCCATAGAAGACCCCTAGAAAGACATCCGGAGAAAAGAACAAGAACGCCTCATCTCATCCAACCCCTAAACCCGGCGTCCTAGTGTCTTGGTCTTGGTCTTGGCCGCATGCGACTCCCGCTCTAGCGCATTCAGCTCCAACGAGGCTTTCACATCTCGATGTTTTTTTTAAATTACATGTCCACATTTCCCCTACGTGGCGCTTCAAGCTCCCTGTCTACCGCAAAGGCACAGCCAAAAACATCTTTCTGCCTACGTCAGATCTTTATCCTAAGAGGTCAATTATGCCTAGTCTAGGCATTTGCGTGTACCATGGGGAAGTGGTGTGATTCTAGGACTTTTCTTTTTTTTACCTTTCCCTTAGCCCCCATGTTGAATGATATACTTGCGATTTCCGTTTACTCGCGGAGGTTGTTGGTCGTTGCTTTCAAACACATGTGTTTCTAATACTAATAATTTAATTCTTGGTACAGCCGTCCTGGTTCAAACAAACTGAGATCCAAGAGAGCTTCCGCATATGCTGGATCACCGCCAGTAACAAAGCCTAATGACAAGCAGCACAAGAACCAGCTCAAGCTTGACACTACCGCAACGATGAAGGACCCTACAATTACTGTCCGGCCGGCTCACCCGCCGTCTTTTGGCTCACCGAAGGACCTGTCTTCAGTTCAAGAGAACGCTATTAACGCTTTCCTTGCAAACACTGAGTCTCCAAAGAGCACACAAGACAACTTTGCTCCAACAGCGTATCCTCGACCAACATATGCTGTTCTCGAAACGCCTCTGGCAGATCCTACAAATGCGAGGCCAAATGCCGCCCTCAACCGTCCTCGGAAACTGTCCAACAACTCAGTTACGACTGTATCGTCCTTTCAATCTCGAGAAAGCATGGTCTCAGCAAGACGGACCCCTTCTTGGGGGAGTAGAACGAGTATGGAAGCGAACGAATCGACGTCTCAGTGGCGACCTGAGTATATGTATCAGCGGCCAATGCCTATCAAGAAGTTGTCTTCTTCCCGGGCTCCCCTCCAACCGAATGAGCTCTTTGCCAAGTTACCTTCAGAGATCCTCTCAAACATACTCGAGCAGTTAAGAGATATTCACTTGGAGGATAAGAGCGGGAGCTGTGCAACTTGCTGGATGCGAGATGCTTGTAACATCGCCGTGGCTTGCCGCAAGTGGTACAGGCCCGCCCAAATAGCACTGTAAGTACATCTCTCCCAATCACACACACGAGGAAAAGCTGACTGGTATCAGATACGAACATATCCAACTCGTGGGCCCAGACTCAGCAACTCTCAAAAAGAAGTTCAAAATGGCACAGGGCATTCGTGTCCTAATGCTCCGGCGCATACTCCGCTCTAATCCTCACATCGCCGAAATCGTCCGCACACTTAAAGTTCCAGCCCCTGAAATTGTCGCCAAAGGCTCCGGAACTGCCGAGTATGAGGATATTATTGCGACGCTCGTCATGGCATGTCCTAATCTCGAGAGTCTCAGTGGCTTGTCGGTTCCGTACGACCACTCTTTCAAGAAGATCTTCCATGCGTTATCAACAAGACGCATGTTAAGAGAAATGAACTGGCTTGTACAAGCTTCGCCCCATCAGAGACAACAGAGAATCCAATCGAGTACTCAGCAGCTTGGTTTGGTAATGCCTGGAGAACTCAAGCCTTCCCAGGAAGCTGCCTTTTTGACATGTCATGATAATTGGTCTCGCCTAGAAACTTTTACTGTGCATTGTCTCCCAGGAGCTACCGTCACGCCCGAGAACCTTCTCACATCAACACTCAAGCGTCTTCCGAACCTCAAACATCTTCATGTCTGTAACCTACCGCCCAATAGCTTCGACGACTCAACTCTCCTCGCCCTGCCGCCTCTACACTCCTTGACGTTGTCTCACATCAGCGGTATAACCTCGAGTGGGCTATCATCATTCGCAACGCAGTCCTCCAGCCTTCCTCTGCGTAAGCTTACACTTCGACACACACCTCTCACGTCGCTCGCTGCTCTAGCGCGCATCTTGTCTAATTTGAGAAACTTGGTCAACTTTTCTCTAGTCCAGACTTTCCCACCCGTCATGCCGGAGAATGACAGCTTCGCACTATGGATGATGCCATACCTTGCAAACAACACTGTGCAGAGTCTCCACTGGGATATCACCAGCCATGCTACCTGTGTCAATGCAGCAGATGATATTCTCGCTCGCAGTATCTCTGCAGGAGGATTTCCAGCTTTGAAGACACTCCGAGCACTCAACGACCCGGACGGCATCTTTCAGGATCTGTGCTACCCCGTCGAGAGAATTGATCTTCCTTCTGATCGTTTCCGAACCTCTGAGCAGCCAGAGAGCTCATCACCTTTTGCATTCCCTCCGAGCTCGGCAAGCCCTATGTCTCCCACACGCCTGTTCAAATCCAACAACTCACCTCTCGCTTCTCCACGGACCCCGATTTCTCCATTTGGCGACACACGCCGCCCTTACACAAGCCTTCATACCGCACGGCTTGCCGCCCAAACCCGTCTTGAAGCAGCACGTTCCCGGCCAAAATTCATCGTCAACGTAGTAGATGAGGACGGGACCATCAATGAGACTTTCTCCATGGCTGGATTTATTGGTACGGCCGGAAGCCCTATCAAGTACCACCTTCTTCCTGACAGGGGCACTACAGACGACAAAGGCGGTCTTATTGATGTGAGAGATTTAGATAGCGATGCTGGTGAGAGTCTCATCGGTGAAAAGGAAGGATGCACTGGACGCTGGAATATGCGTGATGGCATCGTAGCAGATAAGAAGGAAAAAGGAAGATGGTGGCATACAGAGAGAGGTCGGTGGACCAAAGTCACTCTCTGAGTGTGCTCACCTGGAAATATACAAAACTCTTAGGGGGATGATAGTATGGTTATGATTTACGGCCGGCACGTATATAGAACTGGGACGGCATGGCACGATATATATCTGGGAAGTCTAAAGGTTCAGGGATATCATTGCATGGCGTTCTCACTTAGATTGGTAAACAGGCTTGACTTCATAGCATTGGCACATATCAAAAACATAGGAGTAAAAGAACAGAATGCCAAATAACATCCAGTCCAGCCATTGGACAATATACACATACCTTCAAAGATCTAATATGGTGCAAATCTGTAGCATCGGCATTTCCGTCTTTGCTTAATGCAAATAATAATAATAAAATGAACGAAAGGTATGTGCAATGAACCCATGTATTTAGCTCAAGTAATTAAAGCTACCAATGCCACCGAATAAACGCCTTTATGCTCTCTACCTCATAATAGCGATAAATTGTGCGCCAAAGCCTCATGCAAAAGTAAACAATTAAACATTTTTTCTTCCGGCCAATTAAAGACATCGTTTCTATCAACCATGTCTAGGTTAAAACTAGATAGTTATGATCCCGTCCCGACTACATATCTGTGTAGATTTTTGATTTTGTTCTTCTCATGCTAAATGTCGTTAAATAGTAAAAGGGCTAGGTTCTTGTTCCGCCCGGCCTAAAAAAAAAAAAAAAAAAAAAAAAAAAAAGTATGTGATGCGTATATGATGAAGTAGATGAGACAGTCAAGGAAAGAAAAAATAATAACAGCTCGCAAAGTAGTCAGTCAGTCAGTCCAGAAGGTACTTGCAATGAACCTTCGGCTGAGACGGTCGTTACCATATTAAGGCTGGTGTGATTTGATAAAAACAAGCCAATGCTGGCGGAAAGTCGTGCACGCATACAAGAAACCCGGCAGCTAGCTGTGCAGGAATTGAGCTCCAGAGCTCTTCGAATGACGCTGGGCAAATTCTGACCAAGGAAACCAACAGTGATTAGAAAAAGCGGCTCTTCTTCTTCTCTTTCTTCATGGCATCGCTGCGCAAGATATCATCAAAGGTTGCGCCCGTCTGCTCGGGAGGAGGTGACTCGGTTTGAGGGAAGCCCTGGTGACCAAAGGCTGCCAGGTTACCCACAGATGAGTTCCGCGAACCCATCATAAGACTGGGAGGACGTCCACCAAGAGAACTGCTACGTTCTCCGAATGGGCTTGGGGGCTGGAGAGGTACAGGCTCCAAGCCCAAGGCGATACTGGATCGCCAAGCTTGATTGGCTCGAGTCCCGCCAGGCGAGTGAGTTCGAGGGCGAAGAGAGCCCGAAGGGCTGCCAATAGGGGATGGAGGGGTGTTGTAGCCGTTGCCGAAAGATGGTGGTGGTGTGGGCATAAAGTCCTCATCCAGGAACATGGACCGTGGGGGCTGCAAAGGTGACAGCGAAGGTTCCGTTGGTGCCTGGGCTTGAAGTCCTGAACCGCCGCTCTCCCACTGGGTAGCAGCAAGCCAGCAGTGACTTCGGTGGTAAGTAGCTTCCACGCTGAAAAGAACAGCATCTTGAGAGAGCTCGACCAAGCCACCTGTGCCAGCCACCTCATACCACATCTTCTTCACTTGCTGATCCGGAACCCAAGGAGGGTTGCCCAGAGGAGGCTCACAGAGGAAGTACTCAACACCTTCAGTGAACTGCATGCCTGGAGCATCCACAACCAAGACAGGAAGTGACTGAATGACAACGTAAAGGAACAGCCAGTAACCAATCCGCTGGTCAGCAAAATCTTGAGGCGTCTTGCCTCGAGCCTCACGAAGCTCAAACTCCTTAAACTTGTCCAAGAAAGGAACCTTGGTGGCATTGGTGTCGTAATTGTAAGCCTTGTTTAACATGAGCATGAGTTCATGTTCCTTGATGTTCTTGTCGAATTTTGCCTGCTTCTTTGGCGACAGCGTATCATAAGTTTCTAGGATAGATGTCGCAGTGGGCAATTGCGGACAATCGTAAGGAATGGGAGGAAGAACAGGCGGCTTCGAGCGATCGAATTCGGACATGATGTTTCGCAGTGCAGACATGATCATCTTGTCGGGATCGTTAGAAAGCTCAGGAACAGCATCCATGATTCTCGAAGTTCGGTTGGTGCGGTCGACGAGCAAGTCATAAAGAGCACACATGTCAGAATACAAAACCTTGAGGACAAGTCTGTTGAGACCGCTCTCGGAGAATGGGTTCTTCTTGCTGCTGGCTTTGGGTGGCCAGTTGCCGAATGCTGTCTTGTAGTAGCTCAGGGCGAAATTACGCATTTTGGTAAATGACTGCCTCCACACCTTGAAGCGGACGCTTCTAAGCTCCGACATGGAAGTTGAGTTTGCAATACCCGAGAAAAGTGCAGGGAATTCGAATTGCTCTAGGTGCATATTGGCATTATGCTGGCGGTTACTCAGATCGGTACTGGCACGTTCCAAGTTCGTACGTGTCTTTTCCGAAACCTGGTTCCAGAGAGGAAGCTTCAGATCTTGGATAGCTGGAAGCTTGCCCGCAGCATGGGCAAATGCCTCGTTGTAGAGATCGGCTGATCGCATGCGCTCGCCTAGAATCAATGCCTCGAGAGTTTTCTCCCGGCTGTTCCGGCAGTCTGCAAGAGCATGCTGGTCCATGTAAAACCCGAAACTGAGATCAACAGCGTCTCCAAAAGTGGTTCCATCATAACTCGTGAAGCCGTATTCTTCCAAAAGTTTTGAAATCTCCAGGAAAGCATGGAAATTGGTAGGGCGAGCCTTGGTTGCAACGAGAGGCTGTCCGGTCAAGAAGGCGAACAGGTTGCGGATAGCAATCAAGCGATCCATGTCGGGTGGTGTTTCTTGACCGGGAGTTCCATTGGGAAGATACAGATGGAGGCAGTCATCATACCCGTCATCCGGAACAGGAGGGGAGTTTGGTGAGGAGATGAATCGGTTCGCATCTTCGGCTGTCAGGCTGTCACGGCCACTAAAACTCCTAGTTCGGTCCCTACCCATAGGCATCTCTCGTTCTCGCTGAATAAGTTCATTGAAAACCCAGGACGAACTGATTGTGAATTCTTGAACCTTGAATGACGGCCCGAAGCCACTGCCCTTGGGGTAAAGGTAGACAAGAACAGCTCCGCTTTCGTTCCATAGTTCCGGAACCTAATCGAGCGCAAAGATTAACTCTGAAACCATGGTTCAACGGTAGAGCAACGTCACTTACCTTTTCTCCGTTCTTGAGAAACGAAGCATTGTACTCGGCCTGTGTATCGTCGGACAGTACCCACGCGGTTGAGGCGTTTGTGTTGGAGACGTCCATCGAGTTTGATCGCGATCTTCCACCAGGCAGCCAACTTCTTCGGAGGCGACCCCGCGTCGGGCTCTGGCTCGCATCACCCTTGGATGAACCTGGTCTGATGGCGAGGGGTGTGGAAACTACGCGGCTCTTGGTGTTGTTATTGCGGCCGTTGGGAGACTGGACTGAAGATGCGCGGCGACCACGATCAGGAGCTGGAGAAGTTTGTCGAGTCTTGAGAGCCTGGATGGAGTCACCATTGGAGTTGCTGGATGTGTGCTGGAGAGAGCCACTTCGTGATCGAGCGGCTGGGTTTTCCTTTCGCAACTTTCCACTACCGCCACTGCTGACATTATCTGAAGGAGAAGTAGGAATCGGAGGAGGCGGCATGTTAGGTTCCTGGGGGCTCATGGTGGCTCTCTGGACCTCTGGAGATGGAGGAATCGGTGCCATGATCTGAGGCTGCGGGTTTAATGGGCCATCGAGACTGTCGCTGCCGCGAGTTGGGATCGAGTCCGGACTAGGCGGGGAACCAGGATGGCCTGGCTGGTATTGACCATGAGCCTGGTGGGTGAGGGCGTCGTGGTAATCGCTCGTCATCCGGGCGGTGGGGTCGATGATGCTGGGAGTGGTAGACGAGGCGCTATCGTCAACGGTTGTAGGAGGGGTTGCAGCGGTGTTAGTGGTGGTCGAGGTATCGGTGGGAGAAGAAGATTTGGTGGGTGCAGGAGATACAGCGGCTGTAACGGCGGAAGCGGGAGCGGAGGGCGCCGCAGGTACCAGAGGTGTTGGTACAGATTTTGGCGAAGGCTCAGACGGCAGAACGAGCGATGGAAGAAAAGATGAAAGTCGATTTCTCCAGCGAGTTGAACCTTTGGTGGGAGAGAGGTTTGTCGTCGACTGGGATTTGGGCAAGGACACTTTTTGAGTAGAGTCGTTGCGTTTACGAAGGGTCTTTTGTTCGGCGGAACGTGGACGGTTGTGTTGTACAGCGTCTTGGTCTTGCTGCGGATTGGAGCCCATATGAGGCAAGTTGGTGGTGGACTTTGACGACCCAATGTTTGAACCACGCAGGTGAGCGAGATCGGAAGTGTTTGACTTTTTTACGCTCTTTCGAGAAGAAGACGAAGAATCAGGATCTGTGTTTGACCGCAGCATAGAGGGCATTATAGAAGCCCGGAAGGACCTGCTCGACGTCATGACGGGCAATGCAATTCGTTCGTCCTAGCAAATAGATGCAAGAGGTGACCAGATCGTCCAAACGCCAGCGTTACATGCAGCAAAGCAGAGGAACAGGAAAGGCAGAGTACCTATGCTAAGAATGGCAGCAGAGGGTACTTGTGGCAAACGAGTGACAGTTCAAACAGAACAAGGCAATGCAAGGCAGGGCAAACAAGGCGAGCTAAGCTATGCAAGCTTGGTCAGGTAAGGCAGTAAGTAAGTCAGCTGGTAAGTAAGAAACCAGGTTAACAAAGGTATGTAAATGGGGACCGGCAGATGGACAATTCTTTATGTCAGGGGACTGCCAGCAACAACAACAAAAAAAGAAGAAAGAAAAGAAGCTGAAACTGAGGAGAGCTCAACGGAGAACTTGACTTCAGACTGGAGTGGAAGAGACGGCAGCAGGCGTCAACTAAGAGAAAAAAAAGTCAGGCAAAAGCCCTTTGCCGCTAGATACTACTACTAAGGTAGGGAATACGCAGGGCACACAGTATTTTAGTCTGTGGCTTCGTGT